CATGCGTCACCGCTACTAGAACTGAGGCAGAATGAGTGACAAGCGATTTCAGTGGTAATTGATAGTGAATAGAAAAGAGGATGCTTGAAGAGTATCATGAGGTGCTGCTATGGTCACGTTGCATTCTGCAAGAGTCATTCTAGTAAGTGGCGATTGTGTTGCAAGATGTCAAGAGGAGGTCTCTGTCTGGAGGCGCAGGTCGTCAGCGATGTGTGAGATTGTGCTGTGGGTATGCTTGTGGTGTGTTGGCTTTTCTGTTTGTTTTCCATTTCAGCTCTGTCCGTGTGACCCAGGTTCTCGCAATGGCATCCAAGTCAACGTGCATTGGTCGTGAAGGAAAAAAGGGTTGGATCCCTTTTTTGCCGGGGAGTGTCAATGGAGTTGAAGATTGAACGATCAATTCTTGGTTGTTTGCTCAAAATCAACTTCCCCAATTTTCGCGGAGGCATCAATACGACAGTCATCGTCTCATCGGTCGCTGTTCAGAAAGAAGAGTGAAACATCGTCAGAAGTAATACAGAGATTTATTATTGTAATATTTGTTTTCAGACCTTAGTTCGCTTATTCTTTTTATATGTTGGTGTAACAATAAACAAATCTCAAGCGGCAGATCGGTGTTTTGGTTTTTTCGTCCGTTATAACTAAGCGTTTCCGAAATCTTCGAAGAACAGCGTGGGCCCGAGCGTAGCGAGAGCTGGGCATTAACGGTTTATGAGACGTGATTGACAGAAGGGCTTCTATCCGGTTTTCTGAACATATTCCCAAAAACCTGTGCCTGAAAGGAAGCAGATATTCCCAGAGTGCAATTACCAGGCACATTATTGATACCGGACATCTCGTAGAGATTTCTAAGTCCTTCAAAATATTAAATAGACAAGGGACAGCAAATTTACTACGATTTGCCGAAGCAATCGCAATCAGAAGACTTAAACCAGACTTATGCATACAGAAAGAGAGTGTGATTAACCTTTCACTCCCTTGGTAACAGAATTTTGATTTTGATTAGTCATCTAATTCAGTGATCTCAACTCACTGCATAAATCTTATTCTCATAAACTGTAACCGTATTTTTCTTTTCTTGAGTTGCTATGTGAACCTAAAAGCTAACACTGTTCTGTTAATCAATTTTTTCTGTTTTCTCTCTTACCCCTCCCCCTCGTTTCAACTTTAAAAGCGTACAAATTGATGATGAAAACTTAAACTAAAAACATTGTAATGCTTTCATTTAGATGCGTCAATTTTATAGTATCTCTTTTCTACCACCACTCGAACATTAAAGTATGTTATTATCATCTATATAACCATTGTAATTTCAGGTAGTCTGCAGCTGATGAGAACCTGTGAAATAGAATGATATCATTTTATACTGCAAATTTCGTCTTCCTTTCTTTATCAAAATTTATCAAGGGAACCAAATGTATGAATTTTTGGAAAAGACAACCGTGTTTGTCTTGAATCTTGGAAATTATCTGTTGAGGATATACTACGAAACCTGTTACACTCACTAGATCTATATGCATTACTAGACATCAAGAAGCCTTCTCGTTATCCACCTCTCTGAGGCCTATTCGTCATCAATGATTGCGTTTTGCTGTCAGACTGCTCTATTCTAGTAGTGAGATTCAATATACTGGCAAATTTGCGCATCGATTGACTGACACTATCTTTTACTAGTTTCAGGATATCATCAAACCTTGGCTCGATACCCTCATCCTCCATACGGGAGCTCATCTTCACCCACTTCCTTTGCAGTCGAGTAGGTAGGCGTCTTGCTATTACTTCTAGTATAAAACTCGAGTTGAGTTCACTCGTGCGATTCATCAAAATCAATGCATTCTTGTAAATCAGTAAATTATCCAAAAACTCATTGAGTGCCTGGGAGTCATCCTGTAATTGATCACCATTACCCTTAACAGCCTCGAATAATTTCCCTACAATCATCGAAGGTCTTCCAAACCTTTGAGGTAGTATGCTCGCGGCCTCGTAGTAGCCCTCTTTTGGCTTCATAATCTTACAGCACCGTATAGCTCTTGAAGCATCTCCAGTGCAATACTTCATCAAATACATTAACTTCAATTCATCACTTAATAGAAAACTATTCAGCATGATCCCAAACTCCTTTACAAATTGTAAATAATCAGCCGGGCTCCCGTCGAAACACCGTGGTTCAAATCAAGGGAGTTTGATGTTCCCATTATCCCTGAACGGCGAAACAGTAGCATCAACCATGTCATGCTTAACATCAGACACATCGTTACAATTAACAGACAAGTCACCATGACTTACTTTCCTGTTTGCATCCAAGACCCTCTGTCCCTTCTTTGACCCAGACATTGCTGAACTTGACCCAATTCCAAAAAAGTTCCAGATATTGCTTGTTCAAAGAGGACTTGACCGGCACCAGGAAAGATGAACGGTGACTATCCAAACTGTCACCGACGGTCCAAAACCGTCGAAAACTGACTTGACTGTCAGAAACTGTCAGTCACGTCTCGTTAACCGTTAATGCCCAGCTCTTGCTACGCTCGGGCTCACGCTGTTCCTTGAAGTTTCTCAGAAACGTTTAGTATTAACGGACGAAGAAACCAAAACACCAATTGGCTACTCGAGGATTCTTTATTGTAACACCAACATATAAACAATGTTACAACTAAGGTCTGTGAACAAATATTACAATAATGAATCACAATGTTACTTCTGACGGTTTACTGATGACTTCTTTCTGAACAGCGACCGATGAGACGATGACTGTCGTATTGATGCCTCCGCGAAAATTGGGGAAGTTGGTTTTGAGCAAACAACCGTGAATTGATCGTTCAATCTTCAATTACTTTGACACATGTCGTCTTGTTTTCATTTTTGTGTTTGAAGACACTGCCATCAATCACGAATTCATTGAACTCGCCGATGTCTGAGGAGAGTTCACCGTTTTTGGTTATTTCACCGAGGGCCTCTTTACCCATGGTGAGTTCTCTCCCTGTATTGTCTCCTCCCAGCTTCTCATTCATGTCGCCCATCAGGATTTTGATATCGCCATTTGGGACTTTCTCCATTATTGCTTGTAGTTGTCTGTAGAACGCCTCCTTCTTCTCTTGTTCTGAGACGTTTCTAGGCGCATAGCATTGAATGGCTGTAACTTTCCTTCCTTTTGATTTGAACCTGGCTGTCATTATCCTGGAGGAGATTGGTTCTCACTGCATGAGAGCTTTGGTTGCTGTTGGCGACATCATGATAGCCACTCCCTCGGTGTGCTCGTGGTTGTCCTCTGGGTGACCGGAAAAGATTACTGTCTCTCCAGTTGGCACCTTCCAGTTCCGTTCCATCTGCTCTCGCAGATTCCCAACACCTCTATTCTGTACCTTCTCATTTCAGCGGCTATCTGGGCAGCCTTTCCAGTTTCGTACATTGTACGAACATTCCAGGTACCCATCCTTACTCTTGCTTTCATCGAAAGAATGCACATCGGCTGACTGGCTCCCCGAGGTGATGAAGATAACCAACCATCAACATCAACAGCAGCAAAATCCAACGTCAATTACCATCAACGGGAGTGACTTGAAAGAGGTTACTTCATCCACTAATTTATCTAGGGAGCATTGTCTCAACTACACGCTGTTTGAAGCGACGAGGATGTCAAATCGAGCGAGAATTGGGAAGGCGAGAAACACATCAACATCATTAACCAACTGAAACCAATCTGGAAACCTTCGTCGCGTAGCATCAACAACAAAATTCGGTCTGATTTTCAATAAAAACGCGAAGTTGGTTCTTCTCCAGGAATCATAAACTTGGCGGGCGGGTGACAACAACGCACGTACTCTTGTGTGTATTTAAAATTATAACAAGCTTGTGATTCACAAGTTCCTAACACGCTTCAGGAAAGGCCTGATTGTGGGTGGCCACATGTTCTTTTAAGCATGTTGCGATTGGCTGTCAACTAGATCGATAACGTGGATTTCTCGGCGAAGTTCAAAAATAATGTCTCAGGAGTATGAACGCTCTAATGACCTTGAACGGATAATAGTCGTTAGCTAACGGCACCTGTCATTATCATAGTTGAAATGTTAAGGCTATTCACCAACTAGGAGCAAATTTCTCTCAGGCCACGTTTTTAAGTACTGTTAATAGTTCGTTAGGGTTAGTGTTAGGGTCAGGATAAGGGTTATAATTAGCATTAGGGTTAGAGTTACGGTCTGGATTAGGGTTAGTGTTACTATTAGGGATAGATTTATAGCTGATGTCATTCATTTTAATTTGTATTATTATTCACATTTCCCGGTAAGTAGTTGTAGTAGCCTCAACAAAATTCGGATTTTAAATACGAACACGTCAAGTCAGTTTTCTATACGGATCAGAAACTTGGCGGGCAGGTCACAAAGAATATTTCCAACAGCCTGTTGCAGACCTTTATCAACAACTAAATGTCTTCGCTCTATACTGAAGACCTGATGGCCGGGCCAGAGAGAATCACCTACATGAAACTATGGGAACAAACAAACAAAACAAGAACCAATCGACGATCAAAAAATATGCAGGAGAAAGTGGAGATGGATTGGACACTCACTGAGGAGGCCGCTGGGTGACATCGCGCGAGTGTCAGGCCATTGCTCGAGTTGAACCAGGCCGAAAGGGAAGCGGCGAGTGGGACGTCAGTGCAAGGGTGACATGGAGGAGATCGTGTGAAGAGGTGCTGTAACAGTATGCAATAATATGGATGCAGGTGAAAAGTAAAGGGGAGGGAAGACAGAAGCAAGTGGAGACGTGCAGTTGAAGCCCTATGTCCCACTAGGAACCCAAGAGAGCAATAATAATCATTGAAGAAGGGTCTGGAAAAACACAAAAATTTTTTACAAAAGGAGTGATATAGGTTTTGCTCAACAAATCTGAATCTAAAACCATTCAGTTGTGACAAGGATATTATATATTGATCAATCGGTATTCGTGTTGTTTGTTCGCTGTATTTTTAAACGTTTGCGACACTTGTATTTGCACGCGGCAGGATGGTGGCATTTGGTGATTTGAAGTCAGATAGTGGTTTGAAGAAACTGGATGAATTCTTGCTGACAAGAAGTTACATATCTGGGTAAGTTCGTTCGACAGATTGCGCTGGCCTGTTGTAAGTCGTTTGTATTCCCCTATATATGTAAATTGGCTATACGCAGTTTTTGCGCTTAATCACATCACTGTTGGGAACTGAATTATTCCTAAGTATGGTCCGTAGTGTGGGTGGTACATATGTTGAGGACACCATTATCAGTCCGTAGTTTTCGAGCTATTATTTTGATACTTAAGGCTTCATTGTTCGTCTTGGCTCTTGGCTGAAAGGTAAAAAGTCCTACTGTCTCTAATTACGGTATTTTGCATTTGGACAGTGTAAGTACATATTATAATAAAGAGGAGATTTCGTTTAAAAGCAAATAATCGTACATTTTGATTTTATTTTGATACTTCGCCGTGTTTTGCGTGAATAGAACACGTGATGCCGGCATTATGGTTAGTAGAGAAGCATTTAAAGTGGTTTATTGTAACATTCAGTTGCTTGTCATCGCATTCTTAATCGCCAAAGGCTTAACTTGGTCACCACTAATCAAATCATAATGGTAGACTTGGATCCGTGCTGTAGTTTCAAGCTTGCTTGCGTTGAAATGTTCAATTCTTCCATTTACTATTAGTTGATCTATTCACTGGATGTAATCGTGATCCGTTGCTTTAAGTTTTTGTGGAGAGCTGTGGGTCAATACATACTGTATTCAGTTAAAACAGTGCCCCAAAACAGGGTTTGCCGACTGAAGTTTGACTAATTTCTGGTCTAAACAAGTTTTTCATGCATTTGTTTTGTCTTGGGCACTTCTTCCCTAGATAAAAGTTGTAGGAACTACCTAAGCACGTTCATGGAGCTGTCTGTCTTCAGTATAATTTTGATCACCTGTTTTCCTCATTAACAATAGTTTGCTTCATTCTATACGCCATATAGGTTCCAACCAACTCAGGCTGACGTTAGCACTTATACAGCTGTCGGCAAGTTACCATCAACAAATTTTGTCAATGTATTACGCTGGTACAAGCATATTGATTCATTTGGCGCTGAACGAAAACAATTCCCAGCTGCATCAGAAGGTGGTGATGTAGAACCACAAGGTAATTAGTTGTTTTACCTATTTCTTATCTACTAGCTAAGCCTGTCGCTGCTTCTGCTCCTGCTGCCGCCGCAAACGATGATGACGCCGACGACTTGTTCGGTTCCGATGATGATGAAGAGTTCGAAAAGTTAAGGCAAGAACGTCAAGCTGCCTATGAGGCGAAAAAAGCCAACAAGCCAGTTGTTATAGCAAAATCCACCATAGTCTTAGATGTTAAACCATGGGATGATGAAACTGATATGGCTGAAGTTGAGAAAGCTGTTCGTAGTATCGAGAAGGATGGATTGGTGTGGGGTGCTTCAAAACTGGTTCCTTTAGCTTACGGTATCAAGAAGTTGCAGATTGGCTGTGTCGTCGAAGATGATAAGGTTAGTAAATATACACATATTTTAGTTGTTCAGTAGGGTTGATAATCCCACTTGTGATTTAACTTTAAAACTGGATTAATTGCACTTGCATTTTCTTTTTGTTTTCCAGGTCGGAACTGATTTCTTAGAAGAAGAGATCACGAAGTTTGAAGATCTTGTACAGTCAGTCGACATTGCTGCCTTCAACAAGCTTTAATTTCTTTTGAAAAAATATATAGAATTCGTTCTATGGATGATTGTATTCCTTTTTATGAGAACTTTTCAGCTGTAGGATATCGGTAGTAATGCGTCCTCCGTTTAATTATGTCATAGATGTACTAATGGAATTAGCCCTAACTGACTTCAACGACTTATGGCTTCAACTGTTACCAGGAAATGTTCGTGTTAACTTGGAATATGCGGATGATACAGCCCTAGGTGAAGACTGATAAAATACAGAGTCTTCTGATTACTTTGAGCAGGAATCTTCGAATCTTTTGTTTGTTATTTGTTCCTGTCAGATGTAAAATGATGCTACAGGACTGGACTACATCGACTCGTAACTTAAGGATGGAGGGGACTGGTTGATGGAGCGTATTGATCACTTCACTTATTTATTGGGGAAGTTGCATATCCCCCCACCCCAGTGGGCTGTTCACTGACGAAATTTCAACACTGGTGCAAAAGGTTTGTGTGGTATTTGGGACTTGTGATACATATGATTAACCATCACCTTCCTTGACTGGGAATGTTAACTAAGATAGGAATTAGATTGGAAAAGAGCTATTCGTGGTCAAATGAAAACATGGAATGAGTTCATGTCATCCTCAGCGGTTAGTTTGGGCTAGGTAGGGAGGTGTAAACTGCGTGATTGGGGTCTTCAGTATTCTAAGAACCAATGTCTGGAGATAACTGTTGATGTGGCTTGAAACAGTTCAGAAGAAGTATCATTTAACTGCCAAGAATCAAGACAAATCAAATCGCAAGTAGGATTCAGACATTGGTGCGAATTTCCATTACAGCATAACTACGCACCTGTCAGGTTTAGCATCTTGCGATGACGTATCACTGAATGGACGAATCATCTGTTAAGTGTTATCAAAAATGATATTTTTTTTGGGGGGGGGAGTATATCACAGAACAAGTCAGAGTGAAGCATCTTAAGGAATAGTATAGCTGGTTAGCGACGACACCTCAATTGGTGACCATTCAGTCTTGACAGAACTTTTATACAGGCGGTCGTTAGGATCTTATTTGAATGAGAAGAAATTATATCTTAGAGTTGGACCGTCAAGAGCTTTCATAACCTACTACTTACTTTACTTCGACTATCTACGGGAGGATGAGCCGGCTTCATGAACATCTCGAATTGATGCTGCCCAGGTGCGGCGATCTGATGCAAGGTTATCCAATTCTTGTTCCACAGACGGAGTCCGTAGACGGTTTGTAGCCCCAGCCCATGCACTCCATATCAGCCTTGACTGTACCAAGCCATGTTTTCAGCTGTCCACCCCTGCGACATCGCCAAGATGGAAATGGTGAGGGATTTAGAACTGATTTGACCAGATCGTCATCTGGTCGGCGCAGAACATGGCCAAACCACCGAAGGCGACGTCGTTGGACCAGTACTGGAATTTGGTTGATGTTGTAGAGAGTTCATGAAGATTCATGGGAATTAGGTACGAGTAATGTCCCCAGCATCGCCCGGCCTTTTGTTTGAGAGTGCAGATCTAGCCTTTACACAACCAAGTGTGACCAACAAGGCAGTAGGAGTGGAGTAGGGAGTCCACTATCCATTGGCAGCCGGTGACCGGAGTCCGGTTCATACGCCTTATTGAATGGGGCCAGACATCCAATAAGCCCTTTGTCCATACGTCTGCCGGTGAGCTTCATATGCCAGTCGTTGGAGGTTTGGAATCAGGGTTTAGCCATCTCCCCTAGACTGTCATCCAATGGACAGTCAACCCGGTGAAGAGCGTCGGACATCCGCTTTTGCCCTCTCACTTCGGTGAAAAACACCGCCACGTGAAGGCAGTGAGTAGGACTTCCTCAGGAGAGGCTATGTAAGACGCCCGGTCATATGGGAGCATTTCAAGAGGTGTACGGAGGGGTGGCCAACCCGCAGCGCAAAGCACTTACCCCCGACCATCCTGAGGCTTTGGAGGCCATAACCTACTAGGTAAACTAACACTTGTGTATGTAATCGTAGGCAAGAGTATCGTAATACGAAGTGAATGTTGAGGATAGTTTTGGAATCTAGAAATAGAATTTTTATGCGATGAACAAAAGGTTGTTGTGGCATGTCACCAACAATTCGAAACCAGAGTTCATCCACTTTCTACTTGTAATAATAATTTGCTTTATTCGAAAATAGTACTTATGATCCACTGGGATTCTAAGCATTTGATACTGTCTGTCTGTCTGTCTGTTTTCGACATAGAACTTTGCACAAATGTGCACCAGTTCAAGTCGCCACACTCCGTGTAACACGCGAAGCAAGAGAAGAAAGTACAAGAAAAGCATAATAGAAACAGTGAGCAGAGGTGTGAGACAAAGGAAGAGTAATAACGAAGAACAGAACAGTTTCATTGGAGATCATAAGTCACAAGGAGTGGATGCATCTGCGCCACTGAGAACGATTTTGAGCCATGTCACCAATTGTTTCCAACCATAGATTTTTACCGTCCCGAGGACCCCAGCCTGGAAGTCTACACCTTTCTACGTGGCTTAGACCAACTGTTGTGGATTTCATTGACTGATGCCAAGTTTTTGTTTGACCGCCGCTAGCTTTTTTCCAGCCTGACCCTATATCCGCTAACATAGCTCGTCGAGGGAGGCGATGGCTTGGCATACGTAACACATGTCCTGACCATCTCAGTCTTTGTAGCTTCACGACTTCGTCGATTGATTTCCCCTGTTTACCTAGAACTCGACGCCTAACTTCAATGTTACTCACCTTATTATGCCACTTTACACGGGAAATAGAACGCAGGCACCTATGATCAAAGACAACTAGCTGATCTTTTCATGTCTTCCACTCTCAGTGGCCAGGTCTCACAACCATAAAGGAGGACGGAGCGGAGTGATGAGCAATACACCCGCCCTTTGGTCGATAGTCGAACATCTCGTCTACGCCAGAGTCGGCGTAAACTGGCAAATGCGAAACGAGCCCCTTGTATTCGTGCTGAAATTTCGTCAGAGATCAGCCCGTTGGGGCTGATGGTACTTCCAAAATTAGTGAAGCGGTCAACGTGCTCTACCGCTTCACTCCCTATTTCTAATCTAGGAGTCAGTGTAGTCCAGTCCTGTAACATCATCTTGCATTTGGCGGGAGCGAATCGCATGCCAAACATTCGTAGATTGCGGCTCAAGGTGTTTAGAAGACTCTGCATTTTGTCAGCGTCTTCGCCTAGAAGGACTATATCGTCTGCATATTCCAAGTCAACGAGATTATTCCCCGGTAGTAAGTCAATCCCTGAGTCGCTGAAGTCACCTAGTGTTAAGTCCATTAACACATCTATGATGATACAGTATTTCATCTAATTCACTCGACAAACAGCAGTATTGATAGTAGCAGTTCTTGAGGTGCCAGTAAAGTTAAAAGTATAAGATTATGATAATAATGTTAATAGCCACAGTTATAAGTTAATTGAAATAGTGTCACCATATATTACAAATACGAGAAGACTGAAGAATCATTTATTTTGCTAATCACATAGTAGTTCATAAGTTTCACGCTTAACACTGTCGACCGAGAGGTACTCTAGTGATGCTCGGCTGTAAAGGGTATGCCGAGAAAGTACATTGCACCGATCAAGACACTTACTCTACTCGAACTCATGCGGCCAGGTGAGGGCTTACGGCGAGTTGTCGTCTGAAGTGGTGACGACTAGTGGTGTCCATCAGGGATGCCGATTATCCCCATTCCTATTCAATTTCATCATAGATGTACTAATAGATTTAACCCTAACTCACTTCAGAGACTCAGGGATTGGCTTGCTACCAGGGAATAACCTTGCTGACTTAGAATATGCAAACGATATAGTCCTACTAGGCGAGGACGCTGACAAAATGCAGAGTCTTCTGAAGACCTTGAGCTGCAATCTATGAATGTTTGGCATGCGATTCGCTCCTACCAAATGCAAGATTATGTTACAGGACTGGACCACACTGACTCCTAGTTTAGAAATAGGGAGTGAAGTGGTAGAGCATGTTGACCGCTTCACTAATTTTGGAAGTACCATCAGCCAACGCCAACGGGTTGACCTCTGACGAAATCTCAGCACGGATACAGAGGGCTTGCTTCGCATTTGCCAGTTTACGCCGTCTGTGGCGTAGACGTGATATCCGGCTTTCGACCAAAGGGCGAGTGTACTGCTCAGCAGTTCGCTCCGTCCTCCTTTATGGCCAGCTGTGAGATGTGGCCATTGAGAGTGGAAGACATGAAAAGATTGGCTGTCTTTGATCATAGGTGCCTGCGCTCTGTCTTCCGTCTGAAGTGGTATAATAAGGTGAGTAATATTCAGGTTGAGCATCAGTCGAGTACTAAGTAAGGAGGGGAAATCAATCGACGAGGCTGTGGAGTTACACCGATTAAGATGGTTAGGACATGTATTACGTATGCCTAGTCATCGCCTTCCTCGACAATGGGCAATGTTAGCTGACATAGGGTCAAGCTGGAAAAAGAGCTAGCGGTGGTCAAACCAAAACATGGCTTCATCAGTCAATGAAATCCACAACAGTTAGTTTAAGCCAGCCAGTCACTTAGGGAGGTGTAGAATTCCTGACTAGTTGGGGTCTTCGGGACGGTAAACACCAATGAAGGCTGGAAACAATTGGTGATATGGCTCAAAATCGTTCCCGAAGGCTGGCGCAGGTGCATCCACTCCTTGTGACTTATGATTTCAAATGAAACTATATTGTTCTTCGTTATTACTATTCCTTTGTCTCACACCTCTGTTTACTGTCTCTATTTCTCACTTCTTTTTACTTTCTTCTCTTGCTTTGCGTGCTACATGGAGTGTTGCGACTTGAACTGCCGCACATCGGTGCAGAGTTCTATGTTGAAAACAGACAGATAGCATTATCACATAGAACGTGGGCCAACACATGGTATCGTTGAGTTTCTGTACTTGTTTGTGAGAGCATACAGTCTTTCATTATAATAACTTCTAGTCCTCCTACCTGACGCGATGCAAGACGAAGAGAGTTGTGAAT